CATTGTGCTCCTGCTGCTCCAGGCCATCCTGGGCTCCATGGTCAACGCCTTCATGGTGGGCTGCATGTTCGTGAAGATCTCCCAGCCCAACAAACGAGCCGAGACCTTGGTCTTCTCCTCCCACGCCGTGGTCTCCTTGCGGGACGACCGCCTCTGCCTGATGTTTCGCGTGGGTGACCTGCGGGACTCACACATCGTGGAGGCCTCCATCCGCGCCAAGCTCATCAAGTCCAAGCAGACGCAGGAGGGCGAGTTCATCCCCCTGGACCAGACCGACCTGAGCGTGGGCTTCGAGACCGGCGACGACCGCCTCTTCCTCGTCTCGCCCCTCATCATCAGCCACGAGATCGACGAGCGCAGCCCCTTCTGGGACGTCTCGCGGCACCAGCTGGAGAAGGACGATTTCGAGATCGTCGTCATCCTCGAGGGGATGGTGGAGGCCACAGGTAACAGGGATGCTGGCGGTGGCTGGGGGGTGGGATGCGCTTGGGGACACATCATCTCCATGGGGACACCTCATGGGGACACTTCACCTCCGTGGGGACACCTCCGTGGGGACGCCTCTGTGGGAACACCTCCATGGGGACACCTCATCTCCATGGGAATACCTCATCTCTGTGGGGACACCTCATCTCCATGGGAATACCTCCATGGGGACACCTCCATGGGGTTACCTCATCTCCATGGGAATACCTCGTCTCTGTGGGGACACCTATCTCCTTAGGAATATCTCCTTGGGGACACCTCATGGGGACACTTCACCTCCATGGGGATACCTCAATGGGGACATCTCACCTGCGTGGGGACATCTTGCCCCCGTGGCCCACAATGTGTTCCTGCCTGGTCCTGGCTGGGAGGTGACCCCAAATCCACCCCCAAGCTCAGCCTGGATGTAGGTCCCCCCACCCAGAATAACCCCATCGCAGGACTGGGGGGGGGGGGGGAAGCTTTCCCCTGTCCCCCGTTTCCCCCCACGGGAAGCCTTTGCCTGGCCTGGCCCCATGAGAAGCTTGGGGAGGGGACCCCGATGACAGTGACAGCCCCTGACGTCCCAGCCTGTCCCCTGTTCACGGGGGGGTCCCATGCACT